AAATCAAGCAAAACATTCAGTAATTTGGTGACACAATATGGTCATACTATGCCAAACCCATGACTATATCAGAGTAATTCAATACTGGCAAAACTAACCTAATTGTATTATGATCAATTTAAATGTTACCATAATTACTCACAGATTCAGCTGTTTCAACATATTCAATATTTACCTCAAATGTATATTCTTCTCATGACAATTGTTGGGCAAGTGGGTTTGGTGGGGTGAGAGGCTTTATTCAGCTTTGACCATGCTTAAAGCATACAAAATAATCACATATTTGGGCATGCATTTCTTCGTAGTGGTACTGCTGAAATATTGATTATGGCTACACCCAAAAATGCATATTTCTTATAAAATTAAAGATAAGATGTTAATTTGACTGTGCAAAGGAACTGCCTGGAAGACAGTGTTTTATTTCTGTTGCGAATCTACCATGGTCACAGTACATCACTTTGTGTCATTTTTATATCTTTGGACTGGAATGTAATCCATTGTATATTTTTTACACGTGTGTCAATCTTTTGCAACATTGCCATTTTTAAAATCAATGGGAGTTTTATTATTGTAGAAAACTTTAGTCACACATTTGGTGAAACATGTTATAAACTGAGGCACAGTATATTATGAGAATATTTTATTTTTAAAACATTTTATCATCATTTTGAATAATATGAACATATTATATGAACATACTACGATTGTGGTAAAAATGTGAAAGAAAATGTCTCAGGTAAATTTAATATGGAATATTAAGTCAATTCATTAAATAGCATACAAATGATTAATAATATATTTGTTCTCATATGTGTTGGAAATAAATGGATCAGTGTTCCAACCACCAACCCATTAATCCTACACTTAATGGTCAGATCATCATATTTGGGTTTGTTCATGTGGACAAGCAGACACAGAGAAGACAAAAAAGGCAGAGAAGAGGGGATAATATAGGTAGAGGAGAAGGTTAAGCAGTATATTCCATTTAGATGTGAAGACATTAAATGCTCAGCCGTTGGATGTGATATCTGGAGACTAAGAGGAAGAACATAGGGGTCACTGCATTGTAAAACTTGATAAGCATTCAGAAAGAAATGATAGTATAGTCATAATCATTAGACTACTGAGTTTTTTAGTAGCACCTGTTTATTATTATCATTGCTAATGGTCTACAACTAGAAAAGCATAATAACAAGAATAATAGAGAGGAGGCCAATGGGCAAAATGTCAGCCATACAAAGAACACACTGACAAAGGGTAATGTATAGTTGGAGGCTACCTGAGAGATCATAAGCAGCAATAGGATAGTCATTATTGGACCAAATAGGGACTTTTGAAAGTAAATATTAATCACACTTTTGCAGCTGTTGGGCACACACACACACACACACACACACACACATATCTTATATATAGAACAAAAGTGAAAATTACTGCACTCCCACGTCTTCATACAATTGAAATAAAAAATAACTTTTAATTTATATAATTAAAAAACATATATCGACGTTTCATCCCCTATACATGGGCTTTCATCAGAATGGCAATACAATTTTAAAATTGTTATTGTGTATGGGGGCTAAAACGTTGATATATATTTTTTAATGGTATAAATTAAAAGTTATTTTTTATTTCAATTGTAAGAAGACTTTGGAGTGCAGTCATTTTCACTTTTGTTCTGTTTTCTGTGCCTGACCAGCACCGGGCATTTACATTCTCAATCCAGGAGTGCAAGCATTCTGTATATTTTGTGTATGTTAAATAGATATATACAATATTATAAACGCAACACTTTTGTTTTTGTCCCCATTTTTCATGAACTGAATTCAAAGATTTAAGACTTTTTCTATGTACACAAAAGGCCTATTTCTCTCAAATATTGTTCACAAATCTGGCTTAATCTGTGTTAAATTGAGCACTTCTCCTTTGCTGAGATAATCCATCCACCTCACAGGTGTGGCATATCAAGATGCTGATTAGACAGTTTTATCACACAGCACAATGCCACAGATGTCGCAGGTTTTGAGGGAGCATGCAATTGGCATGCTGACTGCAGGGATTTCCACCAGAGCTGTTGCCCATAAATTGAATGTTCATTTCTATACCATAAGCCGTCTCCAAAGGCGTTCCAGAGAATTTGGCAGTACATCCAATTGGCCTCACAACCGCAGACCACGTGTAACCACACCAGCCCAGGACTCCACATCCAGCATCTTCACCTCCAAGATCGTCTGAGACCAGCCACCCAGACAGCTGTTGCAACAATCGGTTTGCATTACCAAAGAATTTCTGCACAAACTGTCAGAAACCATCTCAGGGAAGCTCATCTGCATGCTCATCATCCTCATCGGGGTCTCGATCTGACTGCAGTTCATCATCATAACCGACTTAAATGGGCTAATGCTCACATTCTATGCGAAGGAGATGTGTTGCACTGTGTGAGGCAAATGGTGGTCACCCCAGATATTGACTGTTTTCCTGACCCCCCGGACAGCCCCAGTGCAGAAAAATTGCACATTTTAGAATGGCCTTTTATTGTGGCCAGCCTAAGGCACACCTGTGGAATAATCATGCGGTATGGTCAGCATCTTGATATGCCACACCTGTGTGGTGGATGGATTATCTCGTCAAAGGAGAAGTGCTCATGAACACAGATTTAGACAGATTTGTGAACAATATTTGAGTCATATATATATATATATATAATCTAATTTTGTAATTTTTTAAATTATTTTTCTACTTATTTGCTTTGTTTCATTATTATTTCTTTTTCTCATTTAACTTTCTTTCTATTTTTCTTATTTCTATTTTTTTATTATATTTATATATTTTTACATTTATTGCATTCTATTATATTTTTTTGTTCATTTGTTCTTTTCATATTTATTATTTACTTTCATTTGGTCTGTTACATATGTTATGCATAAATAAACATTTCTTTTCTTCAGGGATTATGTGTCTTTACTGGCTGCTCAGTTTTCTCTTTCTTCCTCCGATGAATGCATACGTGAATCGCATGTCACGTGTAGGCCTCACTCTAAGAAGCCTGGATCTATGCAAGTTTAGATTAGATAGCAACGGAATAGCACTGGTTTTGCTTGAACCGCTTTTCCATGTCCAAGTCTTATTTTCAGTGATTTTCCTCATGCACAGTGTTGATTATAAGGATACTCCGATTGCATGTTTATTTTTCCTTCAATGATCTCTTCTCTTCATTCATTGGTTTTGTTTTAGTATACCAGGGGCTTCTTTGTATACAAGTTACATTCCGGTATATTTATTCATTTATTCACATAGTGATGCTTTATTTCGGTTGTGATTCTACCGTTGTCACAGTACATCACTGTGCTGTGACCCCCTGAATCACCCTCGCAGGCCATTTCCCCAGGTGGGATTTTATTTATTTATTTTTTTATTTTCTTACTGGGTATATAATAGGCTTGTGTTAGTTTGGGATATCCTCTATTGATAAATGCCTTTGACTGAAACGTTGTAGGTTTACTTTGCTTTGGCATTGGCGTACTCTCGTTTCTGTTCATTTTTATCTCTTGGGACTGGAATGTAATCCATTGCATATTTTTTTACATGTGTGTCAATCTTTCCAACATTGTGCTGCTTGATACAATTTATAAACTGTATGCCTAAATTAGCCACTATGCATCTGTTAAAGTATATCTAACTAGGTCTGTAATTTGATATTGGTATTTCTTTTATGATTATTTTTGGATAATTTTTTTGTATGTGTTCGACTAAAAATATAATTTTTTTAGGGTATGCTCTTATGTTATGCTGAATGTTTTTTGGCCCTGAAGGAACAGAGTATTCATAGTGAGCACCCTAACATTGAGCTCTGCGTTGTCTGTATTTTCTTACATATATGACCTACAAACATTTTGATTGTTCTAGGGTTCATATATACAGTTGCAAGAAAAAGTATGTGAACCCTTTGGAATGATATGGAATTCTGCACAAATTGGTCATTAAATGTGATCTGATCATCATCTAAGTCACAACAATAGACAATCACAGTCTGCTTAAACTAATAACACACAAAGAATGAAATGTTGCCATGTTTTTATTGAACACACCATGTAAACATTCACAGTGCAGGTGGAAAAAGTATGTGAACCCTTGGATTTAATAACTGGTTGAACCTCCTTTGGCAGCAATAACTTCAACCAAATGTTTCCTGTAGTTGCAGATCAGACGTGCACAACGGTCAGGAGTAATTCTTGACCATTCCTCTTTACAGAACTGTTTCAGTTCAGCAATATTCTTGGGATGTCTGGTGTGAATCGCTTTCTTGAGGTCAGGACTCTGACTGGGTCACTTCAGAAGGCATATTTTCTTCTGTTTAAGCCATTCTGTTGTTGATTTACTTCTATGCTTTGGGTCATTGTCCTGTTGCAACAGCCATCTTCTGTTGAGCTTCAGCTGGTAGACACATGGCCTTAAGTTCTCCTGCAAAATGTCTTGATAAACTTGGGAATTAATTTTTCCTTCAATGATAGAAATCTGTCCAGGCCCTGACGCAGCAAAGCAGCCCCAAACCATGATGCCCCCACCACCATACTTCACAGTTGGGATGAGGTTTTGATGTTGGTGTGCTGTGCCTTTTTTTCACCACACATAGTGTTGTGTATTTCTTCCAAACAACTCAAATTTGGCTTCATCTGTCCGCAGAATATTTTTCCAGTACTGCTGTGGAACATCCAGGTGCTCTTGTGCAAACTGTAAACATGCAGCAATGTTTTGTTTGGACAGCAGTGGCTTCCTCTGTGGTATCCTGCCATGAAATCCATTCTTGTTTAGTGGTTTACGTATTGTAGATTCGCTCACAGGGATGTAAGCATTTGCCAGTGACTTTTGTAAGTCTTTAGCTGACACTCTAGGATTCTTCTTCACCTCATTGAGCAGTCTGCGCTGTGCTCTTGCATTCATCTTTACAGGACGGCCACTCCTAGGGAGAGTAGCAGCAGTGCTGAACTTTCTCCATTTATAGATAATTTGTCTAACCGTGGACTGATGAACAGCAAGGCTTTTGGAGATACTTTTATAACCCTTTTCAGCTTAATGCAAGTCAATAATTCTTAATTGTAGGTCTTCTGAGAGCTCTTTTGTGCGAGGCATCATTCACATCAGGCAATGCTTCTTGTGAAAAGCAAACCCAGAACTGGTGTGTGTTTTTATAGGGCAGGGCAGCTGTAACCAACACCTCCAATCTCATCTCATTGATTGGACTCCAGTTGGCTGACATCTCACTCCAATTAGCTCTTGGAGATGTCATTAGTCTAGGGGTTCACATACTTTTTCCACCTGCACTGTGAATGTTTACATGGTGTGTTCAATAAAAACATGGCAACATTTCATTCTTTGTGTGTTATTAGTTTAAGCAGACTGTGATTGTCTATTGTTGTGACTTAGATGATGATCAGATCACATTTTATGACCAATTTGTGCAGAAATCCATATCATTCCAAAGGGTTCACATACTTTTTCTTGCAACTGTATATATATATACAGTTGTTGGGCATTTAATGAAAAACAAAAATAAAAAAGTTAATTGAAGTTTTGAAAATAAGTATCAGAAAAAGCTCATTTATTTGACAAAATGTACTTTCATAAAACCTAGGCATTTAAATTATCTTTTTCTGATTTTGTACCCAGACAGCAATATCCATTAGCCATGAGCTTCATTACAGACCACCTGTTAATACTGTACCCCACTTTTCTTTTTAATCCAGTCCAAGTTTTTGTAAACGTTTGAGTAAACACCATATGCATCTTTATCTCCACACCCTACACCCCAAGAGACTGTCCCAGCTAGATACCAGTGCTTCTTCTGATGATGCTTAGTGACCATTGGACCCCCTGAATCACCCTCGCAGGCATCCTTTCCTCCTGAAAGAAAACACATTGAAACAAGGACACCTTTTAATAACACCTTCAAGAAGTAATTCATATTTCATGTTGAACCACCTTTGTTTTAATTTCATAATACCGAACCCACCCTTATGCCACCACTTCTTCCTATACTGCCTAGTTCACGCTTTTTAAAATCTACTTTCCCAGTGTTTTATACACAGTCTGCTTGGAAAGGTCTATGTGTGCTCTCTATGTGTGCTGTCTAAGGTGGGCCATCAGAATGCAACCCTAACAAAATAGAAGCCTTTGTAAGACTGACTGTTAATCTATGATGCCTTGTATGGATCAGACCTTGGCATGGTATACCCTTAATAATGAGGATTCTTGAATCAGAAAAAAAACACATTAAAAAAATAAATGTAAAAAAAAGTTAATGTGTGGAACATGCTGATATACATCAGGTTTTGACTTTGAATTGGAAATAGATTATTGTTATTCTTCTTCTTATTATTATTTATAAAGGTCAACAAGTTCTGCAGCACTGCACAATGGGTAGACTAACAGACAAGTATTTTGACTGCAAATCACTGACATGGCTAATGTAGTGCACCAATGTCCAAAATGTGACTCACCTTTGCTTAAACATGGAATACAATCACAATATGGAACAACTGCATTGAGCTAGGGTATTTTATTTTTACGGAAGTACTTAGGGCGTTTTTGTGAGGCCCAGTAACTAAAAACTTGGATAATGTGATAATTGTACATTATTCCCACAAATTAATATACTGTATTAATGCACAGACCCCTATGGATTACCATATCAGTAATGTAATGTAAATCTCTATTAATCATTGCTTACCGTCTTTAAATCCTGCACATATCATATCCTCAGTTAACAATTTATTCAACTTTGTGTATGCAGACTTGCATACAGTTTGGTCCACCACAGGGATTTCCACCTGAAATCAATGGAACAAAAATATCTGAGTAGATTCCAAGTAAAATAGTAATAGAGATACGTCACCCTTATCTCACAGCTTTTTTGTGATTCCACTTGTGATAAAGTGTAATGTCATCTCGGACCCTGCTCTTTTATTACATACACGCAGGCTTAAAAATATATATGGTTTCATTTCCAAGACTCTGGTTTTGTGAAGAGTCGTATTACCGACTAAACATATAAATGGCACTGTTTTAATGCATTTTATGCAAGTGAACTACAGTTCTCTTGTGTTTTCTGTTAAGTGTGTGTGTTTGTGTGTTTATGTTGTGTTGTGTGTGAGTGCATTACAAAAGTGAAAACTGAAATGTCCTCATTGAGATTATTTAGATTTTGACGAAATGGTATAACTTACCTCCATTAGAAACTTAGGGATTTTTTCCAGAAACTCTTTACCCCATCCACTGATGATCACATGCTCATCTAAAAGTAAAGAGTAATTTATTAGTAAATCATGTCTTACTAAAAATCGTGAATATTTATTAATAAATGTTTCTTTAAAGAGGGTGATAAGATGTTTAATTTAACAATATAAATCATTTTAAAATCCTGTTTATTTTATTAGCTTTTTCTCTGTAGTAGCCCTGAATTCCTTTACATTCAAGGTCATCATTTTTAACCATGCATTGTTGGAAAATGACCAGAAAATTGCAAATTGTCATACCCATGTATATATATATATATATATGTATATATATATATATATATACACTTTATATAGGATTTATATATGAGAATACAAATGTATAAAAAAATAAGTGTCAGATGATATATGTTACAATCAGATTCATATGGCTGTTACCGTTCAGTCTGGGTGGTAAATAATTAAAGTGCACCTGCAAATATTTTGTACGCATTTTAAATTAATGCATGCATTGCTACACTTTAGTTAAAGGACCACTATAGGCACCCAGACCACTTCAGCTTAATGAAGTGGCCTGGGTGCCAGGTCCATCTAGAATTAACCCTGCCTGCTGTAAACAAAGCAGTTTAAGAGAAACTGCTATGTTTACATTAGGGTTAATCCAGCCTCTAGTAGCTGTCTCATTGACAGCCGCTAGAGGCGCTTCCACGCTTCTCATTAAGAATGCTTTCCTATGGACTGGCTGAATGCGCGCTTGGCTCTTGCCGTGCATGCTCATTCAGCCGATGACATCAGAAGTAGGAGGAGAGTCCCCAGCACCGAGGGAGCCCGGCGCTGGAGAAAGGTGAGTGTTTAACCCCTTTCCTCCCCCTTCAGCCTGGCGGGAGTAGGACCCTGAGGGTGAGGGCACCCTCAGGGCACTATAGTGCCAGTAAAACGAGTTTGTTTTCCTGGAATTATAGTGGTCCTTTAAAGGAACACTATAGGGTCAGGAACACAAACATGTATTCCTGATCCTATAGTGATAAAACCACCATCTAGCCCTCCCTGCCCCTCCCCTTGCCTCCCTAAATATAGTGTCTGCAGTTGCTGCATCTGCCCCTGAGCTACATGCATGCCTGAAATCATCAGCAGTGAGTCTGTGAGCCAATTAAAATGCTTTCCCATTGGATTGGCTAAGACTGTCAAGTAGGCAGATCAGAGCCAGCACAAGTAAAACACAGCCCTGGCCAATCAGCATCTTCTCTTAGAGATGCATTGAATCAATGCATTTCTATGAGGAAAGTTCAGTGTCTGCATGCAGAGGGTAGAGACACTGAAAGGCAGTACTGCACAGAGTGCAGCATTGCCCCAGGAAGGACCTCTAGTAGCCACCTGAGAAGTGTGTAATGTAAACACTGCATTTTACATGGAAAGTCAGTGTTTACTGCAAAAAGCCTGAAGGGAAGGATTCTACTCACCAGAACAAATACAATAAGCTGTAGTTGTTCTGGTGACTATACTGCCCCTTTAAAACAGCATGTTTGATATATATATACAACCCAGTTTATTCAAAACAGAAAACAATCAGCTAACACAATTTTTTCCCCCAAAAAGATGTTATTCTAGAATGCCAACAGAGAAGTTTATTAGCTAAAAGTGAATTGTGTTAAAATAGCAAAATGTAGACTACAATCTAAGGTTGTTATTTTGCAGTGCATCTATTTGTTTTTTGCATTTCCTAATTTGTCCAA